TTAAAGTTACGTTACGTTTCTTAGCGAAATATAATACAATAAAGTAATCTAAGAATAGAATATATTGTGTAAGGTCCCAAGGACCTCTACTTTTTTTTAGCATGGTAGAATTAAGAAGGTAATCCAAGCCGAACTTTAAATACCCCATTTTAATACCGCCATTGGGTAACGAAAATATTTTATATAAAAGAATCTGAATTCAAACGTGTTCCACTTTAAACTACAAATACCAACAAGACCGGTTGGATAAAACCACAAAGTGGGTGAGGACGTTGTATGCGGGACATACCAAAACGGGAACCTCTATTGATTTTATACTTCAACGATTGGCATCTACCAAATCTTCTTAAATACCAAATTTGAAACAATTTCGTGGGTAAATGTGACTAGGTGTAACAACGTGGACCTAAATATTCAATGTCACCGACACTGGAGCTAGAACCAGTTATGAACTACAAATACAAGGTTTTAGACAGATCCGTGGGGAAAATTGTCAAAAAATCATCAAAATTCTGAATATCCTAAGGTACCATTATGTGGAGGCTATACCAAAAGGTGGACCTATATATACTATGTTCCGCCACAGGAGCTAGAAGAAATTACGAAATACAAATACCAATTTTTAGACAATTCCGTGAAAAAATGCAGCGAAACCATGAAAATATAGAATATTTGGGAGGTAACGTTACATGGCGGTTATACCAAAACGTGGAACATTTTCAATGCCAACCATCGTAGACACAATTCAATTGTTCTGCCAAATTTGGAAGATCTAAGTGAAATAATGTGGGTTGTATCGTGATTTCAAGAGACAGGCAGACATCTTTAAATCTCCCTAAAATTTTATACTGATTATGAATATATGCAGGGTAAGATAAAAACAAGTAAAAAAAAACATTAAAAAACATTCGTCCGGGCCAAACTTTTAATACCCTTCACTTTAGGATAAAGGAAACATTAGAACCCATTATGACACACAAATACCAATTTTTAGACAAATCCGTATAAAAATGTGCCAAAAATCATGAAAATACCGAAGGTACCGTTATATGGGAGCTATACCATACGGACCCATTATGCCCAAATAATACAATTTTTAAGACAAATCAGTGAAAAAATGTGGCAAAAACCATTAAAATACTGAATATTGGGAGGTACGGTTATATCGAAGCTATACCAAAACGTGGACCGATATAACTCATTTTCAATACCAACCACCCTTGACACAATATAAATTGCTCTGCTAAATTTTGACGCATATGCCGACGCGGTTTTCGATCAAGTCGCTTCTTTACTTTTCGAACCATTTTTGCTGATGTTGCTGTTTTCTTCCATCCACTTCCTTGACATGGGGCTACGCTACCGGTATCACGGTAACGGGCGATGATACGAGACACATGCGATTTATTTACATTTAAATTCTGGAGTTCTCTAACGTAGGCACTTGTGGCTTTCCAGCCAAATATAAAGAAATCATACCGGCTTTCGGTCGTGTCTTGAGATTAGCTTCATCCATAGTTTTTTTTTTTTTTTTTGAGTTTATAACTTTTATAAGTAGCCGACCTTCGATTTTAAGGTCAATATCTTCGGAACTACAAGAGATATCAGCACATATAGCAAATTTTTGAAAGACTCAACTTTAACCTTGTTTTCCTTCTGGGGATTATGTGTGGTCAGAGCTCAGTGTCTTTGTGTATTTGTCTGCAACACAGAGAAGGAAGCGAGTTAGGCCCATACTTCCTTTTGATGATCTTCATAGAATCACATTCCGAGTCGATTTATACATGTCCGTCCGTCTGTCCATGTATTTTTGTAAACAAAGTACAGGTCGCATTTATTGCCCGATTGATGTGATATTTTGCACAAATAATTTATTATTTTATTTAATGGCCCAGAGGTGAGAATCGGTTCAAATTTAGATATAGCTCCCATATATGTCTTGCACTGATTTCAGGTTATTTGTGCACCAAATGGCCAGTATCCGACCAAATGACTTGAATTTTGGCACATCCGACCGAATTCAGTGTAGAAGCAAATGCGTCAAATTTGGGCTTTTAGGTCCTTCACATTCGTAATATGAACTCCACAACAATATTAGATACAGCTCAGCAATAAGTGTCTTAAATGTTATCAAAATTAATTCAGATTTGATATAGCTCCCATATATATCTTTATCCGATTTCGGCTTATTTGTGCACCAAATGGCCAATATCCGTCCAAATTACCTGGAACTTGGCAATTCGGACTAATTTAATCCTTGAAACAAGTACTTAAAATGTTGTGAAAATTGGTTAAGATATAGCTAAAGCTCCCATATATATGTTTCATTCGATTTGGTGCTAAAGTCTCTCACATGCCTAATATGCACTCCACACCAATGATATTTGATACCGCTGGTCCAGCTGGAAAGTACCTCTGCCAAATTTTATCGAGATTTTTATATACTTTCGATATACATCCGATCTTCATCCGAGTTTTCGGTTATTATTCCCCATATATGTAATATCAGCCTAAATTGCATAGGTTTTTTTTAATATTCAACCCATTTGGTGAAACTCGGTCCGGCATATCTATTGCTCCAATAAATATTTTTATACCCTCCACCATAGTATGGAGGGTATATTAAGTTTGTCATTCCAATTGTAACACCTCGAAATATTAATTTCAGACCCAACAAAGTATATATATTCTTGATCAGCATAAAATTATATGTCGATTTAGCGATGTCCGTCTGTCTGTCTGTCTGCCCGCCTGTCTGTTGTAATCACGCTCGAATGAATTGAGATAGACGGCTAAAATTTTGCACATATATTTATTTTTCCAGTAGGCAGGTTAAGTTAATGGGCCATATAGCTCCACATCTTCGTATAGCCCCCATATAACGGTATCTCTCGATATTCCGTATTTTGATGATTTTAGCGACATTATTCACCGGAATCGTTTCAAATTTGATATTTGAAGTTCGAAAGGGATTCTACAGCCTAAGACAAAAGATTGTCTGTGAGGACCACGTCTTCATAAAGCCCCCATATAATGGTACCTCCCGATATTCGGTATTTTGATGAGTTTAGCGACATTTTTCACCGGAATCGTTTCAAATTTGGTATTTGAAGTTCGAAAGGGATACTACAGCCTAAGACAGAAAATTGTCTATGCAGGTCCACGTCTTCGTATAGTTCCCATAAAACGATACTTCCATATATTTGGTATTTTGATGATGTTAGCGTCGTTATTCACCGGAATTGTTTCAAATTACGTATTTAGAGTTCGTAATGGGAACTACAGTCTCTGACAAAAAAAAAAATTGTCTATGCAGTTCCAGGTCTTCGTATAGGCCCCATATATCAGTACCTCCCTATATTCGGTATTTTGACGAGTTTAGGTACAATACCCACCGAAATTGTTTGAGATGTCGCATTTGAACTTCGTAATGGATGCTACAGCCTATGACAGAAAATTGTCTATGCTGGTCCAGGTCTTCGCACAGCTCCGATACAACGGTACCTCCCTATATACGATATTTTGATGATTTTAGCAACATTATTCACCGTTTATTTCAAGTCTTCGAATTTTAATATGGTAATGGCTTATGACAAACAATGCCTATGTAGGTCCACTTCGTATAGACCCCAATAAAACGGCTATATTCGGTATTTTTATACCCTCCACCTTGGAAAGGAGGGTATATTAACTTTGTCATTCCGTTTGTAACATCCTTAAATATTCGTCTTAGACCCCATAAAGTATATATATTCATAATCAGCATAAAATTCTAAATCGATTTAACGATGTCCGTCTGTCTGTCTGTCTGTCTGTCTGTCCGTCGGTCTGTCTGTCCGTCTGTCTGTCTGTTGAAATCACGATACAGCCCACATTATTTGACGTAGAGCTCCAAAATTTAGCAGAGCTATTTGCATTGTGTCTTGGATGGTTGGTATTGAAAATGAGATATATCGGTCCACGTTCTGGTGTAGTCCCCATATACGGTACGGATGATTTATGTCACGTTTTTTCACGGATTTGTCTTAAAATTGGTATTTGTAGATCATAGCAGGTCCCTGAGCGTGTGGCAAAACATTGCATGTATGGGTCCAAAATTTGGTATAGCCCCCATATAACGGTACCTCCAGATATTCGGTAATTTGATGATTTTTGCAACATTTTTTCACGGATTTGTCTGAAAATCGGTATTTGTTGGTCATAATGGGTTCCAGCTCCGGTGGCGAAACATTGCATGTATGGGTCCATGATTTGGTATAGCCCTCATATAACGGTACCTCCCGATATTCGGTATTTTGATGGTTTTTGCCACATTTTTTCACTGATTTGCCTAAAAATTGGTATTTGTGGGTCATAATGGGTCCTAGTTCGTATGGCGAAACATTGTAATTATAGGTCCACGTTTTGGTATAGCCCCCATATAACGGGACCTCCCGATATTCGGTAATTTGATGATTTTTGCCACATTTTTTTCACGGATTTGTCTGAAATTTGGTATTTGTTGGTCATAATTGGTTCCACTTTCGGTGGCGAAACATTGCATGCATGGGTCCATTATTTGATATAGCCCCCATATAAAGGTACCTCCCGATATTCGGTATTTTGATGGTTTTTGCCACATTTTTTCACTGATTTGTCTAAAAATTGGTATTTGTGGGCCATAATGGGTCCTAGTTCGTGTGGCGAAACATTGTAATTATAGGTCCACGTTTTGGTGTAGCCCCCATATTACGGTACCTCCCCATAATCGGCATTTTAATGGTTTTTGCCACATTTCTTCTAATGTTTATTTTACCCTAAGGTGGAGGGTATTAAAAGTTTGGCCCGACCGAACTTAATGTTTTTTACTTGTTAAAATTAAAACAGAATTTTTTTAAGGATTTTATTTTTTGAAAATTTCCATATTCGTTCCAAATGGTGGAGGGTATTCAAAGTTCGGCCCGGCCGAACTTACTGTTTTTTAACTTGTTCTCATTTTCTGTTTCTTTCTCTTTTTTTAGGAATGTCCTGAAGGTGTGGTACACGAAGACTGTTTCAAGGATATTTATGCAAAATTTTTTCCACATGGCAGTAAGTAAATCATCATAAAAAATAATAATGTGACTATTTTATGGCTCTTTGCTCGTTTACCCTTTGCTGAACGAGACAGCTCAACACAGAAAAAAAAAATGAAAAATATAAAAAACAACAGAAAACGATTTCAAATACCTATTTTCCAGAAGAAAAAAATGTGTCTCCCACTTGAGTGTGTGTGTGTGTTTTTTTTTTTTGGCAATGGCTTTTCGGTCGGTTGCCATTTGAGGAACATCATTTGCTCATGGCCCACAAGTCAAGTCAATAGTTCATGTCTCATATCTATCTTCCAACATATTTTAAGAGCAAAAAAGACACAACATTTTTTTGCTCTTTAATGTTAAACTTGTTTTTTTCTCTCTTCCTTTTCTCCCATTTTCTTTCATCATACTTGTGGATTAACCACCTCAAATTTTTACAGATTCAAGTTTATACGCTCATTATGTGTTCAAAGCATTCGATGTTAACTGCAATGGTGCCATAAGTTTTCGGGTAATATACCATTTTTAATATTTCTACTTCATTGTTGCTTTTGTTGTTTGTGTTAATTGCATTTCATAATTTTCATAAATTTCGCCAGGATTTATTGGTCACCCTGTCCACATTATTAAGGGGCTCGGTTTATGAACGCCTTCGTTGGACATTTAAATTGTACGACCTTAATGGAGATGGACGCATCAGTCGTTCGGAATTAAGTGAAATCATAATGGCCATTCATGAGCTGATGGGCAGGAGAGCGCACCAGCCAGAGGATGACCGCAAAGCAAGAGATCAGGTGAGAGGAGAAATTGATAATTTAATTTTATTGTTTTTAGTTTTAACAATGGAATAATTTATCAAGACGAAATGTTTATACCCTACACCACATAGTGTTAGGGGTATTATGTATTTGTGCATTTGTTTGTAACAGAGAGACGGGAGCGAAATAGACCCATAGTTACTTTTGAGGGTCTTCATAGCATCATATTCTGAGTCGATTTATGTATGTCAGACAGTCTGTACGTGTATTCCTGTAAACAAAATGCAGGCCGTAGTTATTATCCGATTTAGATGAAATTTTGCAAAACATTATTTGTTTGGCCCAAGGATGAACCCAATTGATATTGGTGATAATCGGATAAGATTTAGATATAGCTCCCATTTATCTTCAACCGATTTCGGGTTAATTGTGAAACAAATCGCTAAAATAAACCCAAATGACCTGTATTTTGGTACATCCCACCAAATTCAGTCTAGACGAAAGTATATTAAATTTGGAGAAAAAAAAAAAAAAAAAAAAAAAAAAAAAAAAAAAAAAATATATATATATATATATATATATATATATATATATATATGTTTCATCCGATTTGTGGTTTTAAGTCCCTCACATGCGTAATATGCGCTCCAGAAAAATGATATTTGGTACCGGTCATCAGATACTGCTCAAAAATACCTCTGTCAAATTTTATAGAGATCGGTTCAGATTAGGATATAGCTCCCATATATATCTTTATCCGGTATCAGGTTTATTGTGCACCAAACGATTAATATCAGACCAAATGAGCTCAATTTCGGCATTTACAACTGAATTCATCCCGTAAACCAGTAGTTAAAATTTGGTGTAAATCGGTTCAGATATAGCTTTAGCTTCCGTATATATGTATTAGCCGATTTGGGGTAAAAAGTCCCTCACAAGCGTAATATGCATTCCAAAACAATGATCTTTGGTACCAGATATGGGATACAGCTCCGAAATAAGTGTACCAAATTTTCGGATCGGTTTAGGTTTGGATATAGCTCCCATAAATATCCTAACCGATTTCCCGTTAATTGTACACCAAATAGCCAATATCAGTCCAAATGACCTGCATTTTGGCATATACGACCGAATTCAGTCTAGAAGCAAGTAAATTAAATTTGCTGAAAATCGGTTCAGATATAGTTAAAGCTCCCATATATATGTTTCATCTGCTTGGGGGTTTAAGTCCCTCACATTCGTAATATGCCATCGACAACAATGAAATTTGGTACCAGCTATCAGATACGGACCAGAAATACCTCTGCTAAATTTTATCAAGATCGTTTCTGATTTTGATATGGATATAGCTCCCATATATATGCTTAATGCCATCTCAGGTTTATTGTGCAAAAAATGGCTAATATAAGCCCCAATGGAGTGCTATTTTGTGCAGCTCGCCTACGATGTATATTTTCATACCCTCCACCATACATAGTATGGAGGGTATATTAAGTTCGTCATTCCGTTTGTAACTTATCGAAATAATCATTTTAGACCCAACAAAGTATATATATTATCGACCAGCTTAAAATTCTAAGACGAATTTTCGTCCGTCTGTTGTAATCACGCTGCAGTCAAAACGAATTAAGATAGGAAGCTAAAAATTTGCACAGATCTGTCTTTTGTCTGCAGGCAGGTCAAGTTCGAAGATGGGCTATATCGGTCCACGAAGAAGACGGGCTATACGACCCCATATAACGGTACCTCCCGATATTCGGTATTTTTACGATTTTAGCCAAATTTTTCAATGGAATTGTGTGAAAATCCACACAAGGAGTTCCTTGTGGGTACTTTATCCTTTGAAAGAGAATTGTCTATATAGGTCCACGATATCGTATATCCCTCATATTACGGTACCCTCCGATATTCGGTCTTTTGATGATTTTAGCCACATTTTCCAATTGTATTGTCTGAAATTCTACACAAAGAGTTCTTTGTGAGTACTTTAGCCCAGACTTAGATTTGTCTATATAGGTCCAGAATATCGTATATCCCCCCATATATCGGCACCTTCCGATATTAGGTATTTTAAAGATTTTAACAGAATTTTTAATGGATTTTATTTATTTATTTATTTATTTTTTTTTTTTTTTGAAAATTTTCTAATTCATTCCAAATGGTGGATGGCATTCAAAGTTCGACCAAGCCGAACTTACTGCTTTTTTACTTGTTTTAATATAATCCTTCTTCAAACTATAGCTGATATAAAGCCAAATGTTGATAGGTGGTATGATCTACTTGAAATAAATTATTTTGTTACGGGAGCTCTAATAAATATGCATAGTGGCGTAGGGTATCATATAGTCGGCCCCGCCCGACTTTTGACTTTTACTTATTGGTTTTTATATAGGTAATGTCAAATTGACCCTTTGTGGGGGGGGTTCCAAAAGCAGTGGGTCTACCATCTTAACATCTACCCTCTTCGTAATAGATCTTGTGTTAGTAAAAATATTGGGTTGTGTGAAATTTGACGAGAATCGGATGGTTATTTAGCATTTTATGTGAGACATAATTATTCAAAATTTTGACCCATTATGATGGAGGTACCAGAAGGAGTGAACCGATATATCCTATCCACAATATCGATTGATCTTTTCTCTTTCTGTAAGGTGAATTATTTTCTTTGAAAATGTTGACCATTGTGGGGGAGGTACCAGAAGATAGCATCATATTCTGAGTCGATTTATGTAGGTCAGACAGTCTGTACGTGTATTCCTGTAAACAAAATGCAGGCCGTAGTTATTATCCGATTTAGATGAAATTTTGCAAAACATTATTTGTTTGGCCCAAGGATGAACCCAATTGATATTGGTGATAATCGGATAAGATTTAGATATAGCTCCCATTTATCTTCAACCGATTTCGGGTTAATTGTGAAACAAATCGCTAAAATAAACCCAAATGACCTGTATTTTGGTACATCCCACCAAATTCAGTCTAGACGAAAGTATATTAAATTTGGAGAAAAAAAAAAAAAAAAAAAAAAAAAAAAAAATATATATATATATATATATATATATATATATATATATATATATATATATATATATATATATATATATGTTTCATCCGATTTGTGGTTTTAAGTCCCTCACATGCGTAATATGCGCTCCAGAAAAATGATATTTGGTACCGGTCATCAGATACTGCTCAAAAATACCTCTGTCAAATTTTATAGAGATCGGTTCAGATTAGGATATAGCTCCCATATATATCTTTATCCGGTATCAGGTTTATTGTGCACCAAACGATTAATATCAGACCAAATGAGCTCAATTTCGGCATTTACAACTGAATTCATCCCGTAAACCAGTAGTTAAAATTTGGTGTAAATCGGTTCAGATATAGCTTTAGCTTCCGTATATATGTATTAGCCGATTTGGGGTAAAAAGTCCCTCACAAGCGTAATATGCATTCCAAAACAATGATCTTTGGTACCAGATATGGGATACAGCTCCGAAATAAGTGTACCAAATTTTCGGATCGGTTTAGGTTTGGATATAGCTCCCATAAATATCCTAACCGATTTCCCGTTAATTGTACACCAAATAGCCAATATCAGTCCAAATGACCTGCATTTTGGCATATACGACCGAATTCAGTCTAGAAGCAAGTAAATTAAATTTGCTGAAAATCGGTTCAGATATAGTTAAAGCTCCCATATATATGTTTCATCTGCTTGGGGGTTTAAGTCCCTCACATTCGTAATATGCCATCGACAACAATGAAATTTGGTACCAGCTATCAGATACGGACCAGAAATACCTCTGCTAAATTTTATCAAGATCGTTTCTGATTTTGATATGGATATAGCTCCCATATATATGCTTAATGCCATCTCAGGTTTATTGTGCAAAAAATGGCTAATATAAGCCCCAATGGAGTGCTATTTTGTGCAGCTCGCCTACGATGTATATTTTCATACCCTCCACCATACATAGTATGGAGGGTATATTAAGTTCGTCATTCCGTTTGTAACTTATCGAAATAATCATTTTAGACCCAACAAAGTATATATATTATCGACCAGCTTAAAATTCTAAGACGAATTTTCGTCCGTCTGTTGTAATCACGCTGCAGTCAAAACGAATTAAGATAGGAAGCTAAAAATTTGCACAGATCTGTCTTTTGTCTGCAGGCAGGTCAAGTTCGAAGATGGGCTATATCGGTCCACGAAGAAGACGGGCTATACGACCCCATATAACGGTACCTCCCGATATTCGGTATTTTTACGATTTTTGCCAAATTTTTCAATGGAATTGTGTGAAAATCCACACAAGGAGTTCCTTGTGGGTACTTTATCCTTTGAAAGAGAATTGTCTATATAGGTCCACGATATCGTATATCCCTCATATTACGGTACCCTCCGATATTCGGTCTTTTGATGATTTTAGCCACATTTTCCAATTGTATTGTCTGAAATTCTACACAAAGAGTTCTTTGTGAGTACTTTAGCCCAGACTTAGATTTGTCTATATAGGTCCAGAATATCGTATATCCCCCCATATATCGGCACCTTCCGATATTAGGTATTTTAAAGATTTTAACAGAATTTTTAATGGATTTTATTTATTTATTTATTTATTTTTTTTTTTTTTGAAAATTTTCTAATTCATTCCAAATGGTGGATGGCATTCAAAGTTCGACCAAGCCGAACTTACTGCTTTTTTACTTGTTTTAATATAATCCTTCTTCAAACTATAGCTGATATAAAGCCAAATGTTGATAGGTGGTATGATCTACTTGAAATAAATTATTTTGTTACGGGAGCTCTAATAAATATGCATAGTGGCGTAGGGTATCATATAGTCGGCCCCGCCCGACTTTTGACTTTTACTTATTGGTTTTTATATAGGTAATGTCAAATTGACCCTTTGTGGGGGAGGTTCCAAAAGCAGTGGGTCTACCATCTTAACATCTACCCTCTTCGTAATAGATCTTGTGTTAGTAAAAATATTGGGTTGTGTGAAATTTGACGAGAATCGGATGGTTATTTAGCATTTTATGTGAGACATAATTATTCAAAATTTTGACCCATTATGATGGAGGTACCAGAAGGAGTGAACCGATATATCCTATCCACAATATCGATTGATCTTTTCTCTTTCTGTAAGGTGAATTATTTTCTTTGAAAATGTTGACCATTGTGGGGGAGGTACCAGAAGAATTTCGAGAAAAAATTTATCAAAAAATTAAGATTTTTTTTTTTGATTTTTTTGAAACATTGATGCAAATATTTTTTGGATATACACTGAAAATAGAGATCTCTTCTCTTTAGTAACTTTTAGTGAAATTTTATCTAGAATATTTCTTCTCTTGACACTTTCCCAAAAAATGATGTATTAAGGAAGATTTTAACATAGAATAGAAACGTGTTGAATAAGCAGTAAAAAACTTAAACACAATTGGAATGTAATTTTCTTAAAAACTGTTAATCTTAGATATATGATTTATTCCGAGATTTATAGTGAAATCTTGTGTAGAATATTTCTTTCTTTGGTTTTTTGTAGCTAAAACGAAATTAAATGTTACTTTCTGGCGTCAACTCGAAAAAAGTCCGAAGAAAAATTGGTTAAAAAATGAGGAATATTTTCGTGGTTTTTTGGGAACATGGACGCAAAAATATATTTTGATATACTATTGAAATAGAGGTTTCTGTTCTTTGGTGACTTCTCTTGAAATTTGATTAGGAATAATTTTATCTTTGACGTCATTCTTCTGAAGTGACGCAATGTCGGAGATTTTCACACAAATTCACATAAAGTACGGTTTAAATCCTAAAATATGTTCTGAATATATATGAATTCCTGGCGTTCAGCTAAGATTCAGACTGTTTACGTCTTGTAAAACCCATAGTAGAAATTTATGCTAAAAAAATTTTGTAGGTCATTTTGACTTGCTACAATCCTGTTTAAAGGGATTTTTTTAACCACATTTAAAAAACAGGACCAAAAAGAGCCCTTTGTTGACCCGCTCGAGCGTTAAAACCTCCGACCAAAATACTCCTCGTATTTTTATTTCCAATATTACCGAATACTCTATATACCTAAAATGCATGGAATCCGATTAATCCTAATCCGAAAATTTTGAAAGTGTGAACGGGAGAGAACTCTTTCACCCCATTTAGGTTACTTTGCTATGAAGGAAGAAATGTAGAACCAATTTTCTTTCTGAAATTTCTCCCGCAGTATATAATTTTCTTTATTTTTTCTCTTTTTTTCCCGTTCAGGTCGATCGAGTCTTCCGAAAATTGGATCTAAATCAAGATGGCATTATAACAATCGAGGAATTCCTGGAGGCATGCCTTAAGGATGATCTAGTCACAAGATCGCTGCAAATGTTCGACAATGACCTTTGATGACCGGCTGCTGCTGATTATGATATACGAAACAATCGCAATACAGTTTCTTTAATAGATCTTTAAGGAGAATGACAACAAAAACTTAGCAACAACAACAACAACAATTTATTAGTAATTATTCAAGAAACAACTCTAAAGAAGATGAAGAATAACAACAATGCCCCTTAATAATAAATAAAAACTTGTTACTTAAAGTAAGTAAAATCCAAAAAAAAAAAAAAAACAAAAGAAATATTGAAAAATTTAGTAAAAAAAAATGAAAAAACAACAACAACAAGAACACAAAAAAGAGAGCTCATACACCAGTTAAACAATGAAAAACAAAATATGACAAATTAGATCCTAATTTTTTTATTAAAAAAATATTTTATTTTTAGTTTTCAAAAAAGAAAATAAAACAAACCCGTTACGAGAATTGGTATAAAATAGTGTAAAAAAAAATAATTCAAACAACAACATTTAATCCTGCCATAAATTCGTAAATTGAAACCGACAACAGAGAAAAATTTGCCCCCAAAGGAATTTGGCTTTTATCAATTCCAAAAAAATGCAATTAGCCAATGATTTATGAGAAAGATTTCTAAGGACGATTAGAAAAACTGACCTTAGAAGCGAAGTTAGAAAGAGATAGAGAAGAATATTTGTTTCTGTTCAAATAGGATGATGTTGGGCGCCATCATCTTAACGCGCAGCTATACGAAAACAAAAACCACCAATTTAATACAACAACAAAATAATAAAATAAAAATGACAACACAAGATAATCAAGAGTGAAATGATTGCATGAATTAGAAAGAAATTAAAAACCAATTATTATTTTATCATTTTTGAAATAAAAAAAAGAAAAAAAAAACAAATTGTTATTTAGATAAGGGAAATGAAGCATTGAGTGGGGAGAGATTCTTTAGCTGTTTTTAAATATTTTTTTAAATTTAATTTACGCTCAAGAAAACCCTTACCATATGAAAGGGTGTTGTTGAAGATTTTTTTCTAAAAAATATGTCTCAGAGCCATTTCGTATAAAATGCGCTTTTATAAAGAGTACAATTTTTTAAATACAGTACTATTTTTTTATGGATCTCTTTTTATCAAAATTACCCTCTCTTATAGAAGGAATCATATTTCGCATAAAGGACCCTGTCTTATATAAATTACTATTTCTTAATAAAGTGTGCCCTTTCTTAAAGAAATGAGACTATCATTCACAAATAAGGGAGAAACTTATAGAAAATACCCTTTCTTATGGAAAGGGTCCATGCTTATCTCATAGAGAGTACATTTTCTCATAGAAAAAAGGGCCATAAAAAGGATAAAGAGAACTCCCACCTGATGAAATGATCCTTTCTCACACAAAGTGATTTTGTCATGTAAAGAGCATTTGCTTATTGAAAGGACCTTTTCTTATAGGAACTATCCTTATTTATAGAAATTAACTTTTCTCATATCAAATCTCCTTTCTTATTGATAGGACCTTTTCTTACAGAAAATATATTTTCTTATCGAGAACAACCTTTTGTTCTAGAAAGTACCCTTTCTTACAGAAAATATCCCATTTTATAGAAACGCCCTTTCACATTGTAAAGACCCATTATTCTTTCTACTCTTTTTTATAGAAGGTACACCCTTATCATAGAAAGAACTTCTTGTATAAAGGATATTTTCTCACATTAAGAATCTTTCTCATACAGGGTGAGATAAAAAAAACTGCAACAATGTCAAACGCCATAATTTTTAAATTTATTTAAAATTTTATTGAATGAAAGCAAAAAATGTCGGAAATAGCCTCAAATTTTAGAATAAGCTTAGATTTGTTCGAATTGGTCACCTTTGGCACGAATTATGGCCTTCAAACGGCAAATGAAACAGTCACACGCTGCCCGAATCTTGCTCTGCGATATTTTGGCCCATTCCCAGCGAAGCGCTTGATTGAGGTGATCGACGTTTTGGTATTTTTAAGTGTCAGCCCTGTTTTCCAAAATACTCCAGACACAATAGTCCAACGGATTGATACCCCGTAATTTTGGTGGCTATTGTGCGTTGGAAATAAAGCGAGGAACCTCATTTTGTAAGCATTCTTGGCGGGCGCGTGCTGAGTGCGATGATGCTGAGTCCTGTTGGGATGTTCAAGGTCTGTGGCCAAAATGTTTGCGTGCCCAAGGCTTTAATACACCCTCCAGAATATTTTCGCGATAATATTCGGCATTTATTATTATGCCACGGTCGATTAATACGAGCGGAGAGCGACCATCGGCTGTTATGGCGGCCCACACCATCACCATGGCCAGCGCCTGAGTTCTGGTGGCCAACCTGAAGGTGCACATTTTCAGCTGACCTCTTTGGCAAATAAGCACGATCTTTTGTTCGTTTACAAACTGCTGGACAACGAATGTTTTCTCATCGAAGAAAACCAAAATCGGTAATTCACCACTTTCGGCCAAGAGAAGCAACTCGTTGGCTCTTTTGAGCCTATTTTTTTCTGTTGCGGTGTAAGTCCTTGCACTTTTTGAATGGCTTTTCAATGGCTTTACCCCGAGCCAATTTTTCAATATGAGCCGAATGGAATATTGCGATATGTTCAGCTCACGAGCCATTTTTCGGCCACGGCGGCGCGGGTTTCGATCAAGTCGCTCTTTTACTTTTCGAACCATTTCTGCTGATGTTGCTGTTTTCTTCCGTCCACTTCCTTGACATCGGGCTATGCTACCAGTATCACGTTAACAAGCGATGGCACGATACACAAAAAAATTTATTAACATTTTAATGCTGGAGTGCTCTAATGATAGCCACTTGTGGTTTTCCAGCCAAATATAAAGAAATCACACTACCAAGCTTAAATTCCATCACGAATAACTTTTTTTCTGGAAAATTCTCCCGAAAATGCTTTTCTACCCTTGCTAAAAAACAGCAGTCTGAAGTTGGTTGTAGTTATTTTCATCTCACCCTGCATAAAGAACCTTTTTATAGAAATCACATTTTAATAAAAATTAATCTTTAAAAAAGAACACTGTTTTATAGTAAGGATCCTTTTTAGGAGATAGCAAGAAGAGAGGATGACAATATAGAAATGTGGGATTGTTCTTACCCGTTTGAGTAAGAAACTATTTATTATAGATAGGTTCGTTTTTTTTATAAAAGGACACCTCCTACTTTAAAGTTTTTTGAAGGTTTAAAATTAATTTGCCAACTAAATTCCACGATTCAGTTTGTCAGGAGATATAAACCATATCTGTGATAAACTTTCGATATATGTTCAGTATTTAGTATTTAGACTACAAATTTTCGATGCTGATAATTGTCCTTAAATGAAAGTTCGTTCCATGCTATTTTTTCAAACAAATCTCCTTTAATGCGCTGGGGCTTCCTGTCTATGGTTCCTTATCGTCATCATATACAGATTTAGCTGCAACTCTGACTGGCGGTAGGTTTTTGTTTTTTGTAGAAACCTTCGCGACCCTCTTCTCCAGAGGGGATCTGATACTTTTTGCTGTTTTCAATCAAGCAGAAGGAGGGCTGTGGATCTTTTAGGGGATCCTCTTGCCTTGAATTCTCAGCCTCCCTTCTGATTAGCCCTAGGCTGCCCCTTTGCCCCTCGGATAAAACCTTTTCATTCATGGCAATCTTCGCAATTACAGTTGTGTCAATTTAGTTCATAGTTCGGTGCACCAGTTCCCAAAAGTATGAGTGATTTTATATATTTCACATCACTCATACGCAGATTTTTCATACAAACGGCCAGTGTCCCCGGAACTAGTTCCTTCCATCGTTCGTTCCAGCTCGTCCACATTTGGTTGGCCTCCTCCCTAGTGAAGTTTTAAACGAGGAGATTCATTTAGACTTACCAGTTTAAATTACTATTTCTTAATAAAGTGTGCCCTTTCTTAAAGAAATGAGACTATCATTCACAAATAAGGCAGAAACTTATAGAAAAGAACCTTTCTTATGGAAAGGGTCCATGCTTATCTCACAGAGAGTACATTTTCTCATAGAAAAAAAGGCCATAAAAAGGATAAAGAGAACCCCCACCTGATGGAATGATCCTTTCTCACACAAAGTGATTTTGTCATGTAAAGAGCATTTGCTCATTGAAAGGACCTTTTCTTATAGGAACTATCCTTATTTATAGAAATTACCTTTTCTCATATCAAAGCTCCTTTCTTATTGAAAGGACCTTTTCTTACAGAAAATATATTTTCTTATTGAGAAAAACCTCTTGTTCTAGAAAGTACCCCTTCTTACAGAAAATATCCCATTTTATAGAAACGCCCTTTCGCATTGTAAGGACCCATTTTTCTTTCTCCTCTTTTTTTATAGGGGGTACACCCTTATCATCGAAAGAACTTCTTGTAAAGGATATTTTCTCACATTAAGAATCTTTCTCATACAGGGTGAGATAAAAAACTGCCACAATGTCAAATGCCATAATTTTTATTTTTTTTTTAAATTTTATTGAATGAAAGCAAAATATGTCGGAAATAGCATCAATTTTTTTTTAATTTTCAAAGTTTATATTTGTTCGAATTGGTCACCTTTGGCACGAATTATGGCCTTCAAACGGCCAATGAAACCGTCACACGCTGTCCGAATCTTGCTCTGCGGTATTTTGGCTCATTCCCGGCGAAGCACTTGTTTGAGATGATCGACACTTTGATATTTTTTAGTGCCAACCTTGTTTTCCAAAATACTCCAGACCAATAGTCCAACGGATTGGTACCCGAAGATTTCGGTGGTCATTGTGCTCTGGAAATGAAACGAGGAACCTCATTTTGTAAGCATTCTTGGCGGGGGCGTGCTGAGTGCGATGGTGTTGAGTCCTGTTGGAATGTTCAAGGTCTGCGGCCAAAATGTTTGCGTGCCCAAGGCTTTAATATTTTCGGGATAATATTCGGCATTTATTCTGATGCCACGGTCGATTAATACGAGCGGAGAGCGATCATCGGCTGTTATGGCGGCCCACACCATCACCATGGCCGGCGCTTGAGTTCTGGTGGCCAACCGAAGGTACACATTTTCAGCTTACCTCTTTGGCAAGTAAACACGATCATTTTGTTTGTTTACAAACTGCTGGACAACGAATGTCTTCACATCGGAGAAAACCAAATTCGTCAGTTCACCACTTTCGGCCAAGCGAAGCAACTCTTTGGCTCTTTTGAGTCTATGTTCTTTCTGTTGATCTTGGTAAGTTATTGCAGTCTTTAGAATTCCAATGGCTTTACCTCGAGCTCATTTTTCAATATTTGCCGAATGGAATATTGCGATATGTTCAGCCCACGAGCCATTTTTCGGCCACTGCGACGCGGGTTTCGATCAAGTCACTCTTTTACTTTTCGAACCATTTCTGCTGATGTTGCTGTTTTTTTCCGTCCACTTCCTTGATGTCGGATGGGAATAACTTTTTTTCTGGAAAATTTTCACCAAAATATTTTTGTACTCTTGTAAACAATATAATGAGCTGTCGCCAGAATAATATTAACAGCTGTCGGACGAGTGGCTTAGAAATGACAGCAGTCTGAATTTGATTGCAGTTTTTTCATCTTACCCTGTACAAACACAATTTATTTATCGGAAAGTGGGCGGTTTTTTTGAAGGTAAAAGTCGAAAATGCAATCAAGTCGACTGCGAGTCCGTAACGAAAATTGTAAATTTTGGAGATTTTTAAGCCGAGGGTCCAGCCCTTCCATACTTAATATAATTCTTCTTTTTTTTTTTTGTAATTAGGCATACACTTTTATACAAGGCGCGAATGAAATCCTCCTATACTACAAATTGTACGATTGGGCTCTAATGTCTTAATTACAGCCAAACAATACCGGAATATCGGTCAAGTACATATGCATGTACAAG